AGGGAGGAAACACCTAGAAGGAAAAGTTAACAACTGGACAGAGAACGAGCGATCTGACTCGAAGGAAGGAAGCATAAAGCCCACAGGCGGCGCAAACACTAAAACTTTAGTCACGAAATTGACGCCAATAACTCAGACCACAAATATAGACAGAAAATTTTAGCAGCTTCGGCTAGCTAGCAGCAGTCTGAAAGTGGTCAAACTTTTAAATTTTTTTTTCTTAAAAGGAATCGGAATCGGAAACGAGGCCAATCATGGCTGGGACGAGCAGAGAGCGTCATACAATGGGTACATATTATTCAAGACACTGACTCAGGAAAAGAACATGCCTCTATATCCACAAGATATTTACAATCTCTTATGGTAATTATTACCGTAGACAGAAAATGTCTGTCTTGCCTTCTTCAATTGACATTACAGAAGTCAAACCACTCATTTATGACCACTCACTCAAAAATGATGCTATTATACAAATGAGTGGTTCAGTAATTCGCCACAAATGAAGTGACTGCGCGTTGATGGTAGAACAACAGCACAAATTATTAAATATTTCAGTCTCAGGCGGTCATTATATAAACCTTTCATATTCTATGAATGTCGGCTCTGTGGCTAAGTCGATGCGAACGCTTCGTAATGCCGGGATGCCAGGTTCAATCCAGCCAGCTGTTGCGGGGTTCCGTCCTGCGCAACTTGCGAATTGATAAATAGTTTTAAATGTTTAGTGTGGATAATGTTTACAAGACAAGTTATGTGTACATTAGGTTAATATAACAATTATCTATTATAGAAAAACGCAAGAAAAGTCTGCTGCCAGGCTGGTTGACTACATATCTGATAGAACAAATAGAAACGTGATTCATGCAAAGAGAACTGAATCAGTCATTGCAAATAGCTACACTTTTCAATAGATGATCCACTTCCTGACCAATATGGAGGACTAGGCAAGGTTGAAGGTTTAGCTTTGACGTTTGTTTGTTTTTTCTTGGCTCCTGGTGGCGCTTTGCTAATGTAGTTTCCACACATGGACCGAATTTTACGGTTTCGTTGCCTAAGCTACTAAGTCAAGTGCTTGGTACAGCACTGTAAGCTTTTTCTCATTTGGAATGCCTTTGGTGTGTGCAGTAGTTAGGTCGTTGTATTCAAAATGTCTGCAACAGTTTTACGTGTGAGCTGGCGAAATACTTATGCAGTAGTTTTACGTTTGTAGTCAACTTATCGTAACGGGCCACTTCCATCAACAACAAACTGCATTTCTGGTGACGACTGTCGGCTGTGGCGCCTACAGCAACTGCCTTATGCATTGTCTGCGTGGGCATATATTTTTAAATTTTCGGCGGGATTAATGGTTCGTTCAACAGTTTCTCAAATAACGACAGTGAGGATCGTGTCATCTAATGTCCTCTTGCACAGAAAGGGAGCAAGTATGAAGTAGCCTGATTGCAGTGATGTTGAAATCTCGAATAAAAGTGAAACTAACACTTCATGCAGCCACATTCCTTTTTTATCCAACGATATGCCGGCGTCAAGGGCAACGAAAGGGAGGATGCTCCTGCTTACATTCCCACTGAAGTGGGACGAAAAGGCGGCTAGCGTGATGTTGATCACATCATTCACCCAGTGTCGATTAGTCTGTGAAATACAGCACTGCTCCTATATACTCAGTACGCCTCATTGCTTGAAAAAAAGGGGATCCTATACAGATTAACTACCAGTAACTACAGACAACCACAAAGTATCAGTTTAACACAATTTTTTTTCTAAATGTCATCGACATTTTTTTTTATTGATATATATCAATAACATAAACGTAATCAGTTGCATAAACACAATCAATAACAAAAATTTACCCTCTTACATTTAGTCAGTCATTAATTTTAAGGTTGATTACTTCAACAAAGGTCAATCATTATTGCTAATGCCAGTAATTGACACAGTGATCATTAATTAAAATTTACAGGTTGATCATTGACATAATAACAAATGATTAATTTTAGGATAAATCATTCACATAAAGATAATACATTAACAATAAGAGAAATAACTGTCACGCAGATTATTAACATTAGGATTAATCAGTAACATAAACATAAATAGTTAACATTACAATCAGTCATTAATTTAAACGTCAATCATTTGCATAAAGAATAATCACAAACAAACAGATGAACCATTAACAAAAAGGCCAACCATGAATATGAACTTGAATTATTTACATAAATACAAACTGAAACGAATCAAATGGTGAATCCAGTGTGAATTCAGTGCACTGTGGCAAATGTAAACCATTTTATGACGCTAGGATTGTTACTTTTAACTCATTTACTACTAAACAAGTCGGCTCTGTGGCTAAGTCGATGCGAACGCTTCGTAATGCCGGGATGTCGGGTTCGATCCTAGCTGCGGGCCATGCGCCTTGCGTTGGTTTCGACAGTGGTCTCAAGAAAGCTGACCGTCCAGCAGGCAATGGCAAACTACTGGACGTAAATTTGCCTAGAAAACCCACACAACGGCCAGGGGCTGTTGGGTTTGGTTCTGTGACGTCCTGTAAAGCATACGCAACTAACCCTAACTACTAAACAACGCATCCTGCATTAGTAGAACTCACACACATGATGTGCCTCTCTGAACTCAACAAAAGCCTTTCTAGTTCTTACAAAACCAATAAAAGAATGCAAAACAAATTGAATGGTAGAGTCTTGGGAAAATTACGAAATTAAAGACTTACTGTTTCATGAACAAGTTACCTTGTAGGTTGTTGGAGATAGTTTTTCAATTATAACATATAAAACATCATTTGTCAGGGAAAGTTGCGGTGTTAAAAGTTGAATGGACTTCACTGTCTTGGGTTATACCATATGGTTTGTTCTCTCTCTCTCTCTCTCTCTCTCTCTCTCTCTCTCTCTCTCTTAGTATAACAGCTGGCCACCCGCAACAAGCGGCACACAAAGCACAAACTCCGAGCTCCAATGACAATCACGACGGTCCTCCGTAAAACCCACATTCGTGAACTAAACGATGCGTCCGTGAAATGAACCCACGACTTCAGAGATCAAGGCAAAAGGTTTGGCCAATTGGCCACAGAGACAGCCAGATCAGTATGTGAGCGGGGGGAGAAATGACAGGTCAAAGAAGAGGAGCAAACATTTTGTATCGTAGAGCGGGTGGAGTTAGTAAGTCAACGAAGACAAGTAAAATATGCTGTGTCATGAACCAGAAAGAGATGGTAGAAAAACGCAACAAAAAAATTGTGTCAGCGAGCTGGGAGAGACAGTACTTCAGTGAGGAAATGTAAACTCATCTCCGGTCACTGAAAGTTACTTTGTAAGCTGGAGGAGATGGTAAGACAAAGAGGAGATGGTAAGACAACCAGGAAGTGATTATGGGAATGTCAGCTCTGGATGATTCACCTGGAGTTTTCGAGATAGGAAAATGATGCTTGAATAAAGATCTTGACTAATACTTAACTGGGCTATCTTCCTAATAACGGTCCCAGATTATCGAGGCAAATAATATAACCAAACCGAGCCTCAGTCACGTGTCAATTGCGCACTTCCAGCGACTTTCGCCACCACCAATAGTAACCCCCACGCCGCTCACGCAAGGTGGATTGGGGCTAAACTAGATGGCTCAGACTGACGAGCAGCAGCTACCGCATTCCCTGCAGCTGCCTTCATTTTATTCGCGGCGTGCGGGATACTCTTTAGGGGTGGCGGAAGTCCCCGGAAGTACGCAATTCGGTGGGGGCGTTATAGTACCCGGAAGTACGCAATTGACACGTGACTGAGGCCCTGTTAGGGTATATTTTCTGCCTCGATAATTTGGGACCGTTTTTTGAAAGATAGCCCTTAACTCTTTTGGCTTTAAACAATGTGTAATGTGTGTGATATGATCCTTCTAGCTAGATTCAACCATCCAACAATGTATTCTCTTAAAATTTAAAATTTCATCAGAGAATAAAATGGAAATTTGGCTAACCGAGTGGTAAGATCCTCTGACATTAGCTATATGTTAGCTTTCATTGAATGTATGCCAACATTGCTTGCTAAATCTTTTGGCTCTGAAAAAACAAAATTATTTATAGTGGTTGTAAACTTTAAGTTACTGACAAGGAAAATGTTGAGTAGTAGGCAGAAGAGAATGGGATGGAAGAGGGGGGATAAGAAGAGCATAGTTCATGAGGATGATGATGTAAATGATGACGATGATGTGGAAGATAAAGATGATGACCACGATGATGTTGATGACGATATAACGATGTCGATGGTTAAAAAAAATGTCGACGGTGTTGATAGTAATGACGACGATGTCAAGATAAAGACTAAAATGATAATCATGATGTTGGTTGTAGCAATGACGATGGCGATAGAAAGGTAAAGGTCCCTATATTCGCTAGCGGCACTCTGGGCATGTGTCGATGATAATTATGACGATGATAATAATGGCGATGATAATAATGGTAATGACGACAATGGCAATGATGATAATAGTGATGATGATAATGGTAATGATGACAATGAGAATCCTGATAACAGTGGTGATGATTATAGTGATGATGATAATAGTGATGATGATCATGGCCATAATGATAATGGTGACAATGATAATAGTGATGAAAATTATAGCGATGATTAAAATGGCGGTAATGACAATCGTGACTAAAAATGGCGATTATGATAATGGTGATGATGATAATTGCGATGATGATAAGAGCGAGGATGATTATAATATTGGTGATGATAATTATAGCGATGGGGAAAAATGGCGATGATGATAATGGTGATAATAGTAATGCTGATGATGATAATGGTGTCGTTAATCGAGGTCCCAGCATCATTGCAGAATAGTTGCCTCATTATCGCTATGTAGCAGTGACAGCAGAAAACGCCCAATATCCTCCACTGCCGAATTGGAAAACTAGTCAAGTGCTTGTCAGTTTTAGCAACATCCTGAAGCTGGCACACTCAAAGATGGACTGGAATGCTGATTATGGACAAATTCGATCATTTTGCTAACAAATTTTTACAATAACAAAACGGCCGGTATGTTGGAAATTCTAAGCAATCCGCTTGTCCTCGGTAAAGATTTAACCTGTCAATTTCATCACCTACTGTCCATTTTGTTCCATTACTGTGTTCGTAAACGCTACCTTCAAATAACGCGCCTCCAGGGTTTACCTCTAATTTGACCTTGTAGACAATAGTTTGCTGTTTCCCCTTGGCATTCTCATCATTAAGAGATATTTGTAGGATGCGAATAACTTGTACAAGGGTATACACAGCGCAACGATTTTTGTCTGTTTTTGAATTGAGTGCCGAGATTACAAGCGCGGTTAATGAACTGGCTAATTGTGAAGAAAGGTTAATTTCCTTAAGACCTTTGTAACCACAGAGACAAAAATCTGATGGTATGAGTGCGTCCTTGCAGGTCCTGTCCCAAGGGATCTTGTCGAAGAGACTGATTCCGTGTTTAAGAGGAGGAAGTGGTGGTGGTGCGTAGCTTTTAAAGTAGAGTAGATCCAAAAGGGTTGCATGGGTGTCAAAATGGGAAGTCAGGCGTTTGGTATTTCGTTTCAAGTTTGCTGCCACGTCAGGGTACTTCTTTAGAAACCATTCTGGAAATGTTAAAATTGTGTATGGAGTCTTGCTTTCAACATGCCCGTTGACAGAATTTCTTAATCCGCCATGTCTTACGCCATGATCTGAGAAAGATATTAGCACCGATCTATTTAAATGACCCTTATCATTCCACGACTTAAACGTCCTGAGAATATGCTCATCGAACATCTTAGCATCACTGGGTTCGTCATGTGTTGGCTTACTTACCATCGCTACAGCAAACACGGGTTTGTCAGAAAATTTATCCAAAAAGGAAGTCACGTAATCCAGATGAAAATTCAGTTCTACCTGGTTTCCGAGGCAATAGATATTTTTTCTAAACGTATCTCTGTCTTTCTGAATGGCCAAAGCCAACGGACGACTGTTATATCTGGCAAACTTATTTATAAAACCTTTACGCAGATAGTGGAAGGCTCCACCTAAGGGCGAATCTTCTGTATACAATGTCTTATAACCCGCGTTTTCAAAAATCCGCCAAATCAGATCGAAAGTATCCATATGGTTTTCATCCGTCCACCATTTCTTGACTTCGTTAAATGAGTGACCTGTAAAAAGGGTAAGAAAATTAGGGAATGTGTTCTCTCCGACTTGAGAATGTAAACTTAGATCAAATGAATTTAGTGTATTCATTAAATACGAATACGTGTCGTTACAGCCCCTTAGAAATTGATTTCTGGTTAGTGTGTCCAGTCCAAAAACAATCACATTTAGAGTTTCCTTAGGGGCGATCATAACTTGCCGCTTTTTGAGATTCAGAGAATCCGTCTCATCGAACTGTTCTTTCTTTGGGACCAGATGATAAAAAGTCTTTGACACAACGTGAGATGACCTGTTTGTACACTCCACTTTTAAAAATTCGGCATCTTTTGGCAGTTCTACTTTCTCAGTGAAAGGGTCTGACCATTTAGAATACTGATAGTCATTATCATTTGTATCATGACGATATACATTTGTGTATCTGCATTCTTTAAACTCGTCTTTGCTCATATGTTTCTCAACCTTGCTTTTGTTAACCTTAAGTGTGTTGTCTCCCTCTATGAACGTCAGATCAGGCATGAACATCCCTTCGCAGTTGAGTGTCTTTTTGTTCAATCCTGCAATTTTCATGACACTAGGTTCATACGGGTTTATCTTAGGAAACTCACAGGCTGTGGGTATTTCGTCACTGTAATTTGCGTTGTAAAATGGAAAGAGCCGTGTTCGATTGTGAAGATCTTGATATGTTACATCTCCCTGTTGGTCTGACATGCTCAGACAAATGTTGACTGTATTTGAGACAAACCATTCACGAAATTCTTGAGAAAGAATCACCGTTAGGATGCACAGTGACATAATCACGAACATTGACCGTATGAAGACCAGGCGACCTGAAATATATGAAATCAGATCTGAAATAAGTTCGTATTTACAGAAGTTTAGATAAATTAATTTAAAGTAGTATTTAATTTCATACACACACACACATATTATATATATATATAAAATCTCACTACCCAGGAACCGAGGGGAATTACTAATTAACACAACTGGACAATTTTCACTTTTTATTTTTTCTAACACAGATATCACAATTTAGTTGCGATTTCCCCCAAAACAAGGAATTAACACGTTAGAGACTGGCGAAGTATATTCAGTCTTGTTGAATATGTTTAGGATATCTGACTGGATATTTGCAAAGAAGGAGAAGGGTGAGGAGCAGGAGGAGCAGGAGGAGAGAAAGAGTCAATTAAGGAGACAAAGAGGTAAGGATGGGAGGGGAGGGGGCAAGGCGAAAGAGCTAGAGAATAAGAAGGAGAATGGGGTTGTACAGTAGAAAGAGAGGAGTAAGGTAACAGTCGAAAATAAGAGACGAGAGAGAAAGAAGAGAGAGGGAGAGAGATGAAATGACGAGTACGCAGAGAGACAGGGGGACTAACGAAGAACAAGGTGGGGAAGAAGATGAGAGAAAAGAATGGAGGGAGGAAGACTACGACGAGATGAATGATCAAGAGAAAGGAGGAGGAGAGGAGGACGGGGACAGTTAGGAGGGAGATAAAGATGAAGATGAGGAAACTATGAATATATATATATATATATATATATATATATATATATATATATATATATATATATATATATATATATATATATATTCCTTAATTGACTCTTTCTCTCCTCCTGCTCCTCACCCTTCTCCTTCTTTGCAAATATCCAGTCAGAAACCTTAAAAAAATTCAACAGGACTGAATATACTTCGCCAGTCTCTAACGTGTTAATTACTTGTTTTGGTGGAAATCGCAACTAAATTGTGATATCTGTGTTAGAACAAATAAAAAGTGAAAATTGTCCAGTTGTGTTAATTAGTAATTCCCCTCGGTTCCTGGGTAGTGAGATTGAACGCCCGTGTGCATTGTTGCGAAAGTAAAAAATCCCTTGGCACCTAATGGCGCTTCCCGGGCAAAATTTAGAGTTTAAAATCTACCCATAGTATTCCAGGATCCTCGCCGGTGCTACAGAGCTTGAGCACCATGCTGAGCTTTTTCGGACTCTGACTTGATTTAGAAGAGAAACGGAGCACTTATGGGTTACTACCCGTATGCCATAATGTTGATCCGTTGGTCAGAACTTCAAACCTTGAGTAAGTAAAGTAAAGATCACTTTTCACGCCTTAGGCTCATCGGGCATATGAAAAAAGCACCCATATTTTTACAGACTGTTCGGCACTAGGTGGGTAATGTGGTCAGCATTACGCTGGCCGTCTTTACTTCCTCACGACTTACATCCTGGTACCCATTTTATGTTGGGTAGACCTGCGACGCCCCATACCACGAAAAAAATCCACGCAGCTAGCAGTGGGTTTCGATCGCGGTACATGGGAATTACGAGTCGGACTCGCAACGCCCAAGCTACAGACGCCGCATCAAACCTTGAGTAAGCTGGTGTAATTTTAAAAGGTAGGGGCCTATGGCTTTTATATTTCTTAAGGGAGTTGGGGTGTTTGGGTTTAAAAAAAAGGCTCAACAAATCCTGAATGTGACCATTTAGGACTGCTGAATTGCTGAACTCGGGTGTGTTAGGCCTGAAGGGTATGATATCACAGCCTATCTGTAAACCACAACATACCGTGCTAAATGCCTTTTAAGAGCAGAAGAAGATTTCAATACTTTACTTTGATCCCCCTTATCAAGAATCCGAAAATTCCAACAACAAGTACTGCTTTACTTTCTAGAGTACGCAAAAATGATGGTTTTAAAACTGGCCTGCCATCATAAGGCCCTTCAGGCGCATAAGGGATTCAGGGCTAGACCTATGTTTTATATACCCAATAGTAGTAGGGTAGTAGGTGGGTTATTTGCTCAGTATCACACTGACCGCCTCTGATTCCCAGGACTCGACCTGATGCCATTCAAGGCTGGGTCGAAGCGGGATCCAAGGTCATTTTTGAACAAAACGCCGGTACCGTCAGGACCCAAACCTACAACTTTCCGATCCGCAGGCAAGCGTCTAGTTGCTACAGCGGCGAGAGCTTCCCTGCTATCATATGAACATGCACATTAGAACTGGGGCTCCCCCCCCCCCTCCCCCACCTTCCCCTTTACCGGCCCATATCTTCCTCCCTACAAAAAGAAATATCTTTACTGCAAATACTAGCCTTTGCCAGCAGAACGGTTAAGCTCATGCAGAGAGCATCGCACAATACACGGACTCCGTAGCTTTAGCGACGATCCCCTGTGGTGGAGGCAAAAACTGCAGTCAAGATCTGAAAAAGGCATTTATGTAAGGGGGAAAAAAAACCACCACATTCGGGACTGCGAGATGACGTCTTGACCATTGTACAGTAGATCCCTCCCCCCTTCCTCCCCCTTCCTCCCCCTCTCCCTTTTCCCCACTTTCGTTTGCTCTCGTTGCTAGTGTTTTAAAACCAACATTCCCCGTGTGGGATCCGGGGTCCGGCTGCTGCTGTTGTGGAAGAGGTGGGGGGGGGGGGAGTGAAAAAAGACTCACTGTTTCCCAAACAAGCATGTCGCAAGAGTCGATTAAATAGGGGTTTTCTTCGGAGTCGGAGTGCAGTGTACCTGCCTTGAGAGGCAGTGAACCAAACGTTTGTATACACATAAGACTGGTCTATATAAAACTGATGTGCACGCAAAACTCATGTTCTGAAATGAGGCTTACGTCCGGAATTTAACGAACTCCCGAATTGCGCGCCGGTGAACGTGAACGAAAAAGAGAAGTGAACAAACCAAAGCGGTCTGCTGCATAGTCACCCGCAGCTGTGATCAACCCCGGCACCACGGAATTACAAAGCTTGTTCGCAACGCCTCAAGCTACAGATGCCTACAATGATAACAATATAATAACAATTTGCTGAATGGCAAACATATAAAAATATAAAGTTTAGTTGCGTATCCTTTACAGGACGTTGCAGAACCAACCCCAACAGCAGCTGGCTGTTGTGGGGTTTTTCTAAGCAAATTTACGTAAAGTAGTTTGCCATTGCCGCTGGACAGTCGGCCCCCTGATACCACTGTCGAAACCAACGCCAGGGCGCATGGCCCCCAGCTGAAATCGAACCCGGCATTCCGGCATTAGGAAGCGTTCGCATCGACCTAGCCACAGAGCCAACATATAAAAATGAAATAATAAACAAATACAGGACATCATCGACTTACGACGACTGAGTTCCATTTCGACTAATAGATAGTTAAGGTGAATTTTCCACGGCTTGAGGCTTATAGGGAATAAAGGGCTAGACCTATAGATGTATAGACCATTCGGCACAAGATGGGCGATGTGATCAGCATCACATCGGCCGCCTTTACTTTCCGGGACTGCACCCGTTACCCACTCAAGCTGACAGATAGTAAGTCCAGTTTGACTGGTCGTAAGTCTAAATTTATTATTTCAGTACTATTTATATTGAAAAGGGTTGTAACGATTTGGCATAAAACAAAACAAAAGAAAACAAACAAAATGCAATCTGTGTAGGAATAACTAGATCCTGCAACGCTTTGGATGTCAGTTCTGGCAACATCTTGACCATACTAGTGTAGTTATCTTTATTTATCAAGGATTGGCGAACAGCAGTCAGAGAACCGTCAAGGAGAAAAGTCAGAACGTTCTGAAGCAGCCAATCTTCATTAGGAAGACAAAACAAAACTGCTTGTGGGTAATAAACAGGCAGACAGATTGGCTGGATCTGCACCACTGGGTGGTGAATTGATACATGACAAAGCAGAAGTGGTCAGGGCATTTGGGAACAAGCAACGGAATCAGTAGAAGAGAATGAGGCACCTGGGTGTAACCAGAGGGTCTGGCCGGCTCACTACATTCAGAGAAAGGCAAGCCTGACATATAACCAGATTGTGCTGGTACCATCAGTATGGGAACTCTGCGATGGCTGCAGAAAATGAGGACGGAGCACGCATGGAAATGCTCCAAGTGCTGTGATGTCAATTTTTGACTCAACAACTACAGAACTGCTTGTTGAAGTATTTTCGTTTAGTTACGTTGATCACACAGCTCGTCCTTGGCCAATTGGTCTTAGTCTTTCTTCTTGAGCCTAAGTTGACCCATAGGGCAGAGTTCATAGCTATCGACGTATTTCTGTTCGTTGTCACCTGTTCAAATCCTGGATGTTCGTTAGGCCCATGGTTGAGCCTTTCCTGATGATAGTTCTACGTAGGGTCTCTCCAGGTCATCCCTGTTTTCTTTTCCCCTTTTTGTCCATGTAAGGCTTTGATGGCAGCGGGCGGGAGGGGGGCATCTTGTTTTATCCATTCTAAGTGCATGGCCGATGTAGTTCCAGCGACGATTTCTTATAAAATTGGATACATTGTCTTGCTTAGTCTCTTGTCTTATTTGCGTAATGAATATAAAGTCTGTCCAATTGAGATTTAAAATTCTTCCAAGACTTTTGTTCACAAGCTTGTCTAGTTTTTTTTTTATTTTATTTTTTTTATCTAGGGCTACCGTTGCTTTCCCACTCTTGCATCCATTAGTTAGCACTGGAATCACACTAGATTCTTTTCTTTATTTCCCTACTCTTGGAATGCAGCGCGGCGCAGAGCATGAATAGATCTCTGGTCCTGAATCTTCTGTTTACTTTGTATAAATTACGTTTCATGTCTCTGATAATTCTGCTATTCATCTTCTCTGTTACCATTGTATATGTATACGATTGTTCTCAGTGGTGCCCTGTCTGATGCCAGTCTTGTTACATGGCCAAACCATTTGATTTGTTGTCTACCTAAAAGTTCAGTACTGGTTCATTGTCGACTCTTTGGCGGATATCATTGTTACACTTAGCATAGTATGTAAACCTGTCATTCCTGTCGCTTCTATTCTCCTTCTGTCACAAGTTG